TTACTATTTTTATAAGAAAAAAAAAATCTAATTCCTCCGCAGCCGTTTCGTATGAATGATTTCCCACGTGTGAAAATTCTACTCGTTAAATCATCCCGCAGTTAGCGGTTAGCGGCTGTACGACGATTATAGACGGCCGCGATGGGCGGAAGGAAGGCCAGTTGACGCGAGATTTTTTTTAAAGATTTCTGCACAGTATCTAAAATTATATTATTTACATAATATAATACTCTTCTAATTAAATTTCATTAATCTTCTTCACTAAGCTCTTATTGGGCAACAAGGATAAAGAAAGTCGCAGCATGTGATGCAGCGTGCGAATGGGATCTCGTTGGGACTAAACTTCTCTCTTATTTATTTGTGTGCATGTTTGATTTTCATATGAAATTTCTAAAATCTACATCTCTTTACTGCTCCACTACGATTTCTCATACCCTCCGACCTTGATTGTCCTTCCACTATGGTCCCTTCGTCCTTCATTGCGTGCCGACTATGATCCTTCGACCTATGTCACCCCCACTACGGTCTCTTCGACCTCTATCGCCCATCAAATAAGGTTCCTCCGACCTAAATCGCCTAAGTCGATCCCCCTGATCTCAATCACTTGACTACAACCCTTCCACCCTCCATTGTCCGATTATGGACCTACCAACCAAAATACCAAATAAACAAGCATATGTTCTCTTGAGAATATCTCTCATGTCACTAGATTCTTCCAAATCCAACCATGTAATGCACTCTATATGATGATATTTACTATATTGAGTTAAGGCCTTTCTATAAGGAAGGACATTATTTGTAATTAATGGCAAACACTAGTAGATTCATTTTCAACTAGACATTGATAATCATATAACTAAATATAATATGTACACTTCTATATGATTACTAGATATATAGTACCGTTTTTTGGGAAAATTGGATAGTATTATACTAAATTGTTATGAGTTTTGAAGATTTTTTTAGTACTTCTACTTTACTTGTTAATCTTTGGATAATATTGTGACGATGTATGAGTTAAAAATGAACGTTTACTATTTTATTGCTTCTAAATAATACTATACTACATTATTTTTCTAGCATCTATATATTATTGGTTTACTAGTTCATAGGCTTTACTATTATTGATCATATTGACTACTACAATTATGAATTAAATAATTTCACAATTTATCTTTTATGCTTTGAGTTCTGTTTTAGAATTTTGGTGAACTGTTGAGCTTTTTGAGTTTATTATGTATATGATTTAAATGATTATAGAATATTAAAGAAAATCAAGAGTTTGAGACTTATCAGTTATAGGATGCCTCAAAATTTTCTATTATTTTATCTTTTTATCATTAAATATTTTTTTATAGTCAGGAGTGTATGGATATTATATTATATTGTATTGTATGACTCATGGCTATTGTATATAATTTTTGGAGTATTAAATATAAATATATATTGATATTTTGATTAATAGATTAGCTTTCATTGATATTTTATATTATTAAAAAAATAGATAGCTTTGATTGTTATTATTAAAAGATAAAATATATAATTCTTTCTAATTTAGATTATGGGGTGCGACAAACCTAGTATCAAAGCATTGTTATTATAAGAATTGAATTTTAACCACTACTATATGAATTTATTTTAAATTAGGTAACATTGGATAGCTTAAGGTACATTATTTTATACATATAATTGATTATATATGTGAATTATTCAGACATAATTGTATAAGTGAACAATACAGTATAGATCAAGTATCGTTAGATAGTGTGATGTAGCTGGTCAGTGTTATAACACAAGTAATGGAAGTTACATCGAGCAAGCCGGTTGGAAGCAGGAAAGAAGAGGAGGATGAGCCTTTATAGATATTTCATATGTTGAAGCCGCCATTTTTCAAAAGAGTTATAGAACCATAGGTTGTAGTAGATTGGCTACTAAGAATAGAGAAAATATTTGACAATATGGAGTGCCCAGAGAACTAGAAAGTATGATTAACTATTTTTTGTATTTAAAGGTGAAGTGGAGAGATGGTGGGCAGGACAAGAGTGAGAGAAATTATAAGAAAAAAGATAAATACATATATTACTTGGGAAGAGTTCATTGCATTTTTTACGATGTGGGTTATATCTCCTTCAGCTTGACAAAAAAAGTAGGAAGCTTTCATAAGATTAGAATAGGGATACAAGACATTGATGCAGTATGAAACAGTTTTTACTTTATTGGATAGATATGCTCATCATTTGATTCCCATTGATGACACAAAATGTTAGAGATTTATGCAAATATTAAATAAGGAGTCGAGGCATTTGTTGGTACCTCAATGGATTCAGAAATTTTCTGAGTTGGTGGAAAGGGCCAGATTGATAGAGCTTGATTTGGCATCGCCAGCATCCAGATATGAACAAGTGAGTGGGAGAAAGACTAGAGATGATTCGAGCAAGGATAGGGATTGTGTAAGTGAAAAGAGAATTAGATCGGGTGATTTGAGGGGATCGATTTTAATAGAAGTTATCAAGATTACATCCATTATGGAAGGAGATATTTAGGTCAATGCTACCTATTGACACGATGTTATTTTCGGTGTGTTCAAAAAGGATACATGATAACATATTATCCATATCAGGGACTTGAAGGAAGAATTGATTCTGGAGCAGAACATACTAGGCAAATTGAAGGACAAAGGACTGCAGGATTGAGGGCATACAATGAAAGATCAATGAATAGAGCTAATGAAAGAGTTGTTAGTTAGAGGGAGTCTGTTACACTAGTACAGATATCACTTGCCCAAATGATCCAAGGAGTGTATAATTTATATTTTTAGGAAGATTGATAACAACTTGAGATTTTAACTGGTAAAAAATTCTTCTTTGAATGATTGATTGCCATTGCATTGCATATCAAACGGCATGTGATTGAATGAACTGAATGCCTATATAATAGAAATTGCTTTTTAATTTGATTTGGACTATCTGACAATATTTAATTTGATTTTGAATTTATTTTAATTTTATCATACAATTTTATTTTGTACTAGTTTTGTTACCCGAATCCGTAGTGAAAAAATCGGGGATGACATATTTTTAAGGTGAGCATATTATAACAACTATATTTGAATAAATTAAATTTCCAAAGTTTTTAAAAATTAACATGTTGGAGAGTTGTAGCATTGTGCTTTTAGGCACTTAAGAGCACAAGAGAGTGGCACCTTAGCACCAAAACTCTTTGTTCTATAGTAACGCTGGAGTTACGTACTCGCAGCAACGCTGGGTCACATGGGTGTTGTGGTGTTGCGCACTGAAATGGTTATTTATTTTTTTTTTCTCTCCACTCAGCCGACCCTCCCTCACTTACTCAGGTTGCTCAGGAAGGAAAGAAGAAGAAGAGAGGGGAAGGAGGAGAGCGGAAAGAGAAACTGGAGTTTTGCCTGCTAGTTTGTTTTGTCGTTTTAGTGAAAATTACTCAGATAATTGTAGGTTACTTAAATCATATTTTTATTTTAAAAGATCTTTCTTTCAACCATTTGATTTTTCCATAATTAATTTTATTACACTTTCTTCGAATTCAGTGAACTTGTAACGTGTAATCTTTTTGTATGTTATAGTATTGATTATTCTAGATATTTTGATTGCTTGGTTTCATTTCAATAGTTAAAATTATAGTTATTTTATTTTATACAAGTTGAATATAATAATGACTATGGTAATTAATATGACTATATTATTAATGCAAGCATTATGAATGAATATGGTCATGTAATTGGGTAATAGCTAGTTGCTATTAATTTTGTAATATTGTGTTGGTAATAACATATGTGAAAATAAGTAAAGGCTTGTGATTTACTAACATTGGCTGGAGATTGATTTATCATATATAAGGTGTATCGAAGAGCTTTCTTTTAAATACTGTAATTTGATGTTATCCTCTAATGATTCACTGATTAAAAGTTAAAAGGAATTAATTAATGTTCTGACGGGCAAGAGTGATGACTCTGATTATTGAGCCAATTGTTACTGATTTATTGATTACTGGAAAAAACACCACAATCAAGAATTCCTTATTTAATATGATTACTTGGATATGATGTATTATACTGCTTCACTACTACTGATATGTTGTTATTGATTTACTATATTGTTCTTATACTGATTTACTATTATTGAGCACGTGATTTCTATTATTGAGCCTGTAATATTAGCTGCTGATTGACAATGATATGTATATAACTAAGCATCATGTGTCTAGTCTTATATGATTACTGGATGGTATTGTATTATATTGTTATGGATTTTAACAATTTTTCTTAGTACTTCCTCTTTGTTTGTTTATGCAATCTCTTTAATATTTTGATAGTACTACAACAATCAATTATTTAAAAAGGATTGTTTAGTACTTCGACATATGTACTACACTACATTATTTTACTGGCCTCCATACCTTAATCGTTTATCGGTTCATAGGCTCATGATTATTGCATGTGTTTTATTGTTTCTCTACATATTCATGATCATATCGACTATTGAAATTACGAATTAAGTGATATTGGATTCGTTTATTCATCATTAAAGTGTCTTAAGTTGTGTTGGAATTAAGTGATATTGGCTTGTTGGATTATTCTCAAATTAATGTCCTGAAATTATGAGTTACACTTCAAACCTTTGATTAGTTCATTCGGGCTCAAATTGGAACATTTTTAGCATCGCTGGGTTTACCCCGATGTTCGGTTCAACTATAAATTTGCTTGAAATTGGAGTTCAAATAATTTTGAATTTAATTTTAAAACTTTTAATTTAAATATATATTGAGATTCATGTTCCATATAAATAAATTTTAATGGCGTAGTAATAATATATACATATACAATCTACATTCATTCCAAAATAAACCTAAATTTGCAACCACATAGTAGCTTAGTGGCTGGAATCACCCACTGCCCCGTCCGGATCTCTCGTCGCCGCGCGCGATCATTTAACAGTTACCGGACTCCGCATCCGACAAGCTAGCCAAAGCCAAGGGCATTCTCGTAATTCCTTCCATTCATGAAGGCTTTCAGGTTCTGTTCTTACTTCTTATCCATTAAATAGCCCTCTTCTTAATTTCTCCCCCTTCCTCATTTTTCTCCCTCCTCGATTCCTGCAACCTATGAGCAGAAAATGCTCAATTTAACAGAAAAATGAAGCCGCGGATAGGATTTAGGCGATGAATCGAACGATTCGCGAGAAACGGATACGCGGCATCGCCGGCGCCGGCCCTGGCCCTAGGAATAAGACGATTCTGACTCCGGCCGCCGGAAAATCCGGGAGAATTTTGCGAATTTCATTCGCGGATGCCGACGCGACCGATTCGTCGAGCTCTGAGGAAGACGGACCCACCTGGCGCAGGCGGCCTAAGAGGTTTGTCCATGAATTACCCATCGGTAACTCCTTACCTGCACGCCGGAAGCCCCATCAGCGGCTGACCCTGCCACCGGCGGATCCACCACCGGGCGGCGGTGAGAGGAAGAAATTCCGCGGGGTGCGGCAGCGGCCTTGGGGCCGATTCTCGGCGGAGATCCGTAATCCGCTTTGCGGGAAGAGGCTTTGGCTGGGGACTTTTGACACTGCAGAGGAGGCCGCCGCCGTCTACGACCTCGCGGCCCTACAGATAAAGGGTGCGAAGGCAGTCACCAACTTCCCCGTGGGGAAGATCAAGTACGAATTGGAGTCATCGGACGCTCCGCCCACGCCGGCGGCTGTGTTGACTGTGGCTGAACCTGCAGCGCCGCTTACTTCTCCGACGTCCGTGCTCCAATTCGATGAGGACGAGTTGCCGTTCGGCGAGTGGCTCGGCTACGGCGACGTCGACGCTTTCGGATTCAGCGTGGTGGAGACGCCGCTTTGCCTATCGGAATCTTTCATCCCAAAGTCGGCGAATTGGGAAAAGATTGAATTCGAAGAGCTCGACGACCTCTCGCTTCTGGAGTCCGCTGCGCTGCCGAGTTTTGGTTGAGTATTAGGCCTTAGCTACTGAGTAGGAGTGATGAGTGAGTCACCGAGTGAGAGAATAAGGGAGCTGATTTTTATAATAATGGTAATAGTCAAGAAAATTTGTTAGAATATTCTGATGAAAATCATATCAAAATGATTTTTAAATTTTTGAATTTATATTGAAAATGATATCAAATTATTCTAAATGAGAAATATTAGTTTATTCGAATTCAATCAAAATGATATATTTATTTTGAGATTGTTATCCTTATATTTCTTTATGGGTAATAAACAAAAAAACATAGCTTGAATTCGTGTCATTTGAAGTAAAATTATTTCTTTTAATGAGTCATTGATCTTTTCTCAAATTTATTTTATTTTGTTTTTGAAATTATCTTAGTTTTATTGAATTCAATCACAAATACTAATGTTAAGATTTCAAATTTGAGCAATTAAGGCTTTTTTTTCTGGTTCTTAAAATAATTTTTCAATACAAAAATTAAAATTTTTGTTTTAAAAAACTACTTTAAGAAGCATTAAAAAAAACGTCACAAATAAAGCCTAAATATTGTTAGAATAACTTGATATAATTTAATTCAAAATAAATTTAAAAATTATAGAATTAAAATTTTAATTACCATATCATTAAATTGAAAATTAATATAATAGTTTTAAAATTTATATTAATATCAATTATATTAGAAAATTCTGACTAAATATTTCCCCTAAATAGTAGTTTTGAATTTCTGTTATATTTACTTAGTACATTACTCATTTTATTATTATTTTGGTGGGCCCGGCTTTAGGTAATGCATAGTGTGAGTGGTGAGCCGTGGAGGCGGCGAGAATGGAAGAAGGGCTTTGCTTCCATTCGACTGCTTTGACGTGGAGAATATTCAATAATTTTCCCTATTTGTTTTTGCCGTCCGGAATATACGTAGCAGTGTTTTCCCCATAGGATCCATGTAATAAGTCAAATGGTGTCTTCGCTTGCAATAAAATATGGCTTAATTCTCCTTACATCTATGATTATTTGCTCTTCAAATAATTATTTGATGCCTTCATTAATTTAAAATATAGCAGCGAAATACGATTT